CGACACGCGAGACTAAAGGCATTTCTTATCATTCCACGGGCCGCCACGCTGCGTCGGTTGGGTGCACACGCGTTATCTCACGCGCGTTGCTCTTTCGTATTGGCCGAGATCGTGTCCCCGTAATTACGAGTTTCACTTTCTACGGCCTCGTCCCTGCGATTTATTCCCGCTTCTTTTTCGGCGACTCCCGCGCGCACGCACGCACGCACGCACGCAAATCCGTCCGGCGCGAGCTATTATCGCGATGGCGCACGAATAAAAGGAACAAAATGGGAACACGTTTCAAGTAAAAACGGAATGTATATACCCTTCTATCGAACGTGCATCCGTATGCGGCCGCGTTTCTTTTATTCACGCGAATTTTTTTACAACTGCGAAAAAAACGTTGATATCAAATCAATGCTGACGCGACACGCTCTGTGTGCTGACGATACATCAAATCAATAACGTTTCGCTGTATGCAAAATTGATCAATTTGCGAATGATACCAGAAAATACGAGCCGGTATTTACTTGCATTAATTTCAAGCGACAAATCCTGAGGAGTTTACTTTTTCGTTTATTAATTAGTACATAAATTCTAGTGGACGAGACCGTAGCAATTTTTTAGATACTTTTTAATGTTAATTTAATGCGGAATGGAAGGTTTTCGAGAGTCACGCGAATCATGCAATTAGCAGCCCCCGCGGGTTCTATAAACTGGTTTTTTTCATTCCTCGCCGGTTTCGACTTTCTCCTATCTGCGCCGGACGCTGCGCGCGATGATAACGAAAATATTCCATTAATTTCTTGTCCATATTCGATTGGATTTTGACAGGGATTATCGAAAATACATAAAAAAGTGAAAAACGCGAGGGGGGAAAAAGGAAAACCCGACGTTTTCAATGGTATCAATGTTATTAATAAACGATAAAAGTATTGCCGCGTGCTATAAAAAAAATATTCCGATAACCCCTCGGCAAACGAGCGTCACAGACTTTAAACGTCACTGAATAAAACTTCATGAAGCGCTCGTGATTATCAGCGTACGTGATCGAAAAATGATCACCGCGACGGGCCGGGATGAACGCACGCGATTCGAACATTAAAAACTACCCCATTGCTCTCTTGGGTGGCATAATGTGTATTGAACACCGTGTGACGTTCCATACAACTATAAAATCATGCAATTGGCTAAACTTGGCTTCATATGACGTTCCCGTAATTCCTGGGATATTTTTTCTTTTTTCTATATAAATCCATCTGATTCCAATTATTTTTGCTGTACATCGATTTCTTGCAATATTCATTCAACGCTAAACCTACCGACAGTCTTCGTACTAATACATTATATTAATATTTTTTACATTTGATTGCAATTTAGTGTAGACACTGGTTCTTCTCTTTGATGGTAGCTTACATAATAATTACAACGTTTACAATATGACAATACAAATTTCGTGAACGTCTTATTTCTTATAAGAGA